AGTTTTGTGCATAAACAAGTGACTGCATTAGAAATGTATTAAAAAGACAATTGAAAATAGCAATTGAAGAATAGGGAGAGAATAAATAGTTTCATTAAGAAAGAAAAATCTTCTGGAGCAGACTGACATCTTTGCTGAAGTAAATAACATAATTATGATGCAAACAGCAGAAGGAAAAACAGCTTTCTTGTTTAAACACTTAAGAAGGGGCCATATTTTTGACCTTAAGCCAACGATCATCTCTCAAAGCTCATCCACATGAACTCCAGATCCAAAAGGCTTTCAGGGCTGGGCCCTCCACCTCAGCTCTGGCATGAATTTTACTGGCTCTAGTAGTTTTCATTGTTAACAAACCAAGCAGATTATTTCCACTGGAGAGGATTTTAAAGGCCCTCCTAGGAGAGCCAGCTGGAAAGCTGTAATGTCTAAAGCTTCTGACAGAGGGTTCACATAGCTATTAGATGCTTTATCTTCAGCCTCTTTTTTCTTATTTAAATAATTTTTTAAGGACGTCCTCACTAAATGAAAACCATGGTTTACATCATCAGAGTTTGGCACATACACGACCTCAGCAAGCTACACGATGTTAAGAGAGATTTAGGCAACACTTTTTAGCCATTTTGAAAGCAGGAGGGCGGACATGGGCCATGGATATAAGCAGTCAGGCAAGCTTGTGAAAAAGTCAAATCTACCTCTTTATGAGAACTAGCCTGAGTTTCTAATTGATCCCTCTAGCAAAGAGGCTCAAGAGATATGTCTGTGTTAAAGTGATGCTACTCTTAATTATATACCAGGAAATAAATGAGATCTGTTTCAAGTATGGGCTATAATTAGCACAAGCTATTAGCCTCCAGYGAAAATGTTATACCATCCACTGGTCTCAAGAAGGGAATTCCTAACTGTAGCTAAATATCAATGTTGTCATACATAAAAGAGCCATTTGAACGGAATCTGCTGTTAAGTACACATCCAGCTCTCCATGTACACAAAAAATATTAAGAATAGCCGGGAACTACAACTTTCTCACAATACACTTTTCCATATGAGCAAAAAACGGGGAAGGAGGAGAGAAATTAAAAAAGGAACAGTATCTAAAGTTTTCAARGAAGCTTTTGTTTGCCTTGCAAGACAACAGTACAAGTCTTAACTAAGGCTTAATTGGCCTGAATACTCCATGAGATCACCTGTCTTYTCTTCACATTCTTTTTTTAATCCTCTCATCTGGTTTACACCAATGATAATTAGCTTACTTTCTAAGAGCCTTATTGTTAACAAGATACAAGATGATTCTGTTTGGCCAGCCTGGATTGTAGCATATCTTTTATTTGCTTTTGGACCATGTCTGATCTATTTAAGTAGTAATTTGCTTCTTCTTAGTCCTATTTAAAAAGATTAAAATCAGTGGCACTTAGAGTAAACAAACAGTGTCTTCACACATAATTTACTATTCTTGACAAATAGATGGTCATCTCTCCTTCTCATTTGCAGCACAGAGRGTAGACAGCTGCAAAACAGAAATAGATCAAATTCAGAGAGTTCTCACCAAATGCATTCAAATTCCTCTTCATGCCTTAAGGCTATACTAAACAAAATGTGAATATTTCACTTAATACTGTTATTCTTTGTGTGGCAAAGTTTGCACTAYGGCTCCCTGTGTAGGATTTGCATTACAAAACCCAATACCTCAGACACAACAGGAGAAATACTTTCTCTCCATACGTCATTATAACCCCTCAACTATCATTAGAATAGAATAGAAATAACTATTTCTGTTATCTGTGTTGTGAAAAAACAGTTGGKCAATATGAAACACACACTGATATTCTGATACTGCAGCCAGATTTATGAAGTCCTTAGTCTGGTAAATAATCTTGAATCATTTTCAAAGAGAACCAAAAAGCAAAACTCAGGCAAGCTTTGAAACAGGGATAACCTCCCCTTCAGAAAAAAAAAAAACAAAAAAAAAAAACAAAAAAAAAACAACAACCAACCTCCCCTCAGCAAACAAAAACAAAACAAAAACCAAACATAAACCAAACCAAACACACACAAACCCAACAAACAAAAAAGCAACCACAACGCACAAACTAGGAAGCAAAACCAACAAGGAAAAACATCAGGATGAGAACACACACCAGACAGCAAAAATGGAGATAAATCCAGCATTTGCAAAATTACTTTCAAGGCTGCAAATCACTGTCCTTGCTGGTCAGAAGAATCACTCCATGACACTATGTAAAGCACACCCCCAGAATATCGTGACACTAAGGGAACAATGAATGGCAGACATAAAGGGAAAACCTCTTATTATAGACTCATAAAATAGTTTGGGTTGGAAGTGACCTTAAAGATCACCTAATTGTGCCCCTCTGCCTTAGGTAGGGAACCTTCTACTACACCAGGCTGCTCCAAGCCCCATTTAACATGGCTTTAAACAATATCAGGGACAGGGAGCCCACAGCTCCTTTGGGGCTCTCTCACCACCTTCATAGAGAAGAAACTRTCTTATCTACAGGACAGTATACATTTTTACTCCTTTTTAATTACAACAGTTTAAAAACAAMCAATTCTTACCTGGTGTTTAGCATGATGTTTTTCCTTGGAATTGTAAACACTAATTTATTTTTTGCTGATAAGTAATAACCTTGTTATCTCCAGCTAAACAATGTTGGATTAACAAGAAGAACAAATACTCTTGTGCTAAATAAACAGTACATCATGTAGCAAATTGATAATAACGTGTTGCTTTACAAATAAACACCACACACTTTAGTCAGTGTTTATGGTATTGATACAGGCTACACTTCTCTTGTCAAATATTTTGTTCAGCTCCTGTAAATAAAGGAATTAAGGYTGCATAATTATAGCTGGTATTTTGTTTCACTAGTCAACACAGAACAAACAAATTATTCACCATCTTTATGTAATTATTGTTTTCCCTCTTGAAATGGTAGGAATGTGAATTTCTTATCCAGAGTACAAAGTAACCCAACCCCTGATTAATTAAGTATTAGCTAAGTTTCTCTCTACACCTGTAAATTGCACTGCAGTGAAGACAGTGACTTGCATCTTGAATCACAATTAATAATGTAAATGCACTGATTGATTCTCTTTAAGACAGTGAAAAATAAATCACTCTGACAAATGTGGTTTTTTTAAGTTATCCACATTTSTATATCTGTGAGCTATAAAGAGGGGAAGGGAAGGAAGTATTCACAGCACACACTGWAGAATTATGTGGTTTTAGCAGACTTCACACTTTGACAGTACTGTCCATAGTATCAGCACATATGGATTCCTTCTTCCTATCTAAGTCAGTGAAACCTATGTCTGCATTTATGTTAAGCACGTATCAATGAAAAGCTTTAAGCTTCAGTTTTTCCAAACATGAGTGCTAATTTTGAGTGTTTCTCTTTCAGAGAAGCTGTCAGAGTACAACTGTCTTCACTTCTGGTTTTTTTTCTGTAAAACCGGGGGAGACAGCAATTTGTATTCTAGCAACTCTTAAGGTTTTCCACCAAAAGTTAGAAACATGATGTTTGAGAGGCCTTAGACAATGCTTTGGCAAATATCCTCAGAAGAAAGTTGTYGTTCCTCAATTGTACACTGCTGAAACCAGCTGTTAGGGATGTGTTTCTTCAGCTAGTTTAAGGAGGCCAAATGACATAAATAAAGCAAAGTCTGCAGGCAGTCTCCACTGGCCTAATAGGAATGATTATCACCTCTTCCAGACAGGCAGAGTGCCTCTCTTGGACTCCTCAGAGATTTCATTTCAAATCAAGAGAGATTAAGCTCTCTGGATGCACAAAGTCAGCTGTGTGCCGACTGACCCAGGGCAGCGTCCTCTGAGTTTGTGACACCACACTGCCCAATTCTTTTCATCAGGAGTCTCATCCCTTCGTGTGCTTTCACTCAGAGGCTGTGGCAGCAGACCCCCTACAGCGATATGACTGCCTTTTCTGATTTCTAGCTGCAGTGGCAAGGGCCCTGGACCAAGCTGTACTGATGATCGAGCAGTGAACTGTGCCTCTGAGCCTTGCCCAATGCTACCCGGTTTTACTGCAGGCTTAAAACAAGGAGGTTATGGCCTATCCACTTTAGCCTCAAGATGAAGACCAAAGCCTGTCAAAAGCTGTCAGTTCTCTGCTTTGCTATGTCCTGCAAGTAGTCAGGGGTAGGCAACACATTCCCATCAGTACTGCTGAGGGAGGTGCAGAGCACTGCTGCACAGCCCACGGTTTGGTTTATGAACTGCCAGTGGAAGAAATGTGTTGGACAGGATACCGGTAACTGAACAAGGAAACYTGATGAAAAACAGCAGTGAGGAATACTGCCCAAATTCTTTTAGAATCATTGAATCACTTAGGTTGGAAAAGACCTTTAAAATCATCGAGTACAACTGCATCTAGCAGAATCTTAAATTTCACAGTTTTCTAAAGTTCTTTCCTAATCTTTACTGATTTGAATTCATATCTTTTTAAATCAAAGTCCTTGTTAGAACATACTGAACTGCAAGACTTAACCTATTCTATGGACTCACTCCTGGTAATATAAAACAGTGGTTTTAATCCAAAGCACAGGGAATGAAAGTTTGAATAATATTAACATATAGATCATGGGGCAGTTTGACAAGAGAAACCTTGGAATTAATAAAATCAGAGAGTTTCACAAAGCAGAAAAACTTCTGGAGATCCACCCWGTCCTATTCTCTCTGACACTTAGTCCTATTCTCTCTGATACTTCTTTTTCTCCGCCCACTAAGAAAAGTACCCTCACCCTCGTAAGCTTTCAGCTGACACAACAATCTAAAAGACTACAATATTCTTCAACAACCTAGTATTTTTCTTAAGAACTGTTCACTCATTTCTGTGTGCACTTGAACATCTTCTGCTAACTCAGCTGTCAAGGTACCTTGAAGTTCTGCTTTTTATGAATACGGAAACCGGGTTTGGTGTGTTTTTTTTTGTGTGACACARCAGCTCGACAGCTCCCGAGAACAGTTCTGTATCTCGCTTACAGCCCTCTGCCGAGCTGCGGCCTCGGGCAAAGCGAACGCCGACCTCGAGGCCGCACGTCCATGTCACTGCTCCTGCTCGCACACCATTCCTGGGAGGCTCCGTGTCACTTTCCTGTGTTTCCCGGGCACAAACCGCACCCCGGCTGTGGTTTCGGCCGCAGGTTTCTCGCTCTCTCCATCCCAAACCCCCAGCTGCACTGGGCCGCGGCCTGGCCGGGGTCGCTCCCACGAACGGGACCGAGCCGCTCCGCTGCGCTGCGCTCCATCCCGGCCCCGCGGCTCCCTCGGCTCCCTCGGCTCCCTCGGCTCCCGCGGCTCCCTCGGCTCCCTCGGCTCCCTCGGCTCCCTCGGCTCCCTCGGCTCCCTCGGCTCCCTCGGCTCCCTCGGCTCCCTCGGCTCCCTCGGCTCCCTCGGCGTCGCACAACGCCCCGCGCCTTTCCGCTGCAGCTCCGCCTTTCCTTTGGGCGCTCCCATGGCCGGGCCGCCGGCGCCCCCGGTCACGCAGCAGGTCGGGCGGGCAAGGGGCTGCGGGCGGCGGGCGGAGCAGGAGCAGGAGCCGCTGCGGGAGGCTGCCCTGTGCCCGGTGCTGGACGCRGACGGCAGGAGCGTCCCCTTCCAGAGCCTGTACGGGGAGCAGAAAGCCATCGTGCTGTTCGTGCGGGTGAGGAGGGGCCGTGGCGGGGCCCTGCCCGGCTCCCGGCGGGGCTGCGGGAGGGTGGGGGTGTGAGGGCTCAGCGCGGCCTGGGCTGGAGCGGAGGGGGAGGAAAGCACAAAGGAGAAAAAACAGTGCTGTTCCTGAGACCTCGTATTCTTTGGTTAAGTGATMCGGTATTTACCAGAAAGGAAATACTTCTTCAGCCGGGTGTTTAGGGAAATAAGTATCGTGTTCCTTGATTTCCCAGCTGTCAGGCCAGCTATCACATTCCTGAAATATCTAGAGATAAAAATATTTGCAAGGCCGCAGGCCCAGTGTCCTTGTTCAGGCTTGGATTAAACCGGTATCCTAATCCAAATTTGGTGGCTGCRAAGAACCAGAATCTTTCCCATTCCTTGTTTGTTCCTGATCACTTCCAAAGTGGTGTGTGCCCAAAATCTGCTGCTTCACTGCTATGCAATAACAAGTGTTTCTGACACGTTCAGTTGGCTGTGTTGCAGAATTTTTTGTGTTACACCTGTAAGGAGTATGTAGAAGATCTGGCAAAAGTCCCCAAGGAATTTTTACAAGTAAGTACTCTGCCCTTAATATGTTTGTGAGGTCAGTGCAATCAAAAAATTTTGTTATGTCCAGCTACAGGCTTACGTAAGGCTTCTAGGAATAAAGAAATGGCTCAGAAGAAGAACTTTCATTGTTTGCTACAATAGCAATAATGAATCTGCCTAGGAGACACAGGAAAGGATTTATGGCACTACACGCTCTGTTGCAGCAGCATTATTTCTTCTTGCCCTATTAGCTTGGTGCTCTTTTTGTTGCTGTTCAGAACAGTTAGACAACATGTAACAGGCATTTCTTCTGGTATTAGTAGTGCCCTGGACAGCTGTCTTCTGACTGCTAACTACTGCCCTTTCCATTATGCTAGTAGGGCCAGCTGATGGTTGTGTGCAGAACAAGATCAGAAAATTGATCTGGATTAAAAATAGYATCTTTTTCGGTGGTTGCATTTGTAGTGTGTCCTGTTCTCCAGGCAGCTGCACAAACAGGAATGACATAGTGATAGAAAGAAGAAGGGTGGGCAGGGGTTGCTATCGACACGTGTGTGTTGGGTGGTAGGAGACACCAGCGAAGACAATAATCTGCTAAATGTGGAAGGTCAATCTGTCTTCTAGACTGCTGATTGAAATTCTGTCATACTTTATTCCCAACAGCAGCACAGCCAACGACATACTCAGGTCATTACTGACAGCAACTCCATCTAAGTYCATCTGAGATAGAATAGGAACCTGAGGACAAAAAGGGGAAATTTCTTTGTGACCATCCCTTCTCAGGACAGATAGTTCAAAACTGTTTGATCAGTGTTACTTAAAAGGATATTTTCTTAATTTGGCTCCTCAAATACATGTATGCAGAGAATCAAAAATGTCCACGCTTTTCTTAGTGTCAGTGTTCTTTTTTTAGGAGGGTTTATTTTCATAACAAGCAAAATAATTTTATATGGGAATGATTCTATGTGGGAAATGCAAGTATTACACTCTAATAAAACAACCCAATATTTATTAACATCTAAGTGAACTTCAGTTTTGGCCCCTGTTTTAGACTCAGGCCTAATGTTGCCCCTGCAAAAGMGAGCTTGTGAATGCAAGTTATGTCTATTAATGAGTGTCCATATATATAAATCACAAAAGTTTGGACACCATCATTTGCATGCTGCTTCTTTAGATRTAGGTGCAACTGAGTGAAAATTTTGAGTTTCTAAAATTATAGCATATTGCAATCAATTGAAAAGACAATGCTTCCTGTTCTACATGAAACTCAAAGTTAAAGCATGTGCAATTTAAAATTTATCTCTAAAAATATCTTTTCACTTAATAAATTAATGTAGCTGCTAACTGCGGGTGCCATACCAAAGTGCAGTCTCCAAACATGTAAATGATGTTAACTTCAAGTAATTTTAACATGGTGCACTGYGATCTCAACTCAGGACACCAGATTCTGCTAATGCTTTGAAGTCATGTGAAAACACCCAGTTCCTCTTTACAGCTTCAGTGTTCTGTTCTAGGAATCRAATGTGAGGCTTATAGTTATTGGACAGTCATCTTATCATCACATCAAGGTAAAGTAGTCATTAWATATAGTATATCCTCTATTGTGTCTTAATGGTTTGTATTGAGGGATTTGTTCTGCATGAAAAGATGGTCTTTTGCAATGGCAGAGAAAAAGGATAGTATGCATGACACAATTCTAATAGTAATACATGAGTAAAACAAATAATTAAAACTTTCTGTTTAAAAACAACCAAGACTTGCTAAGGAAACATCTTTTCTTGATTTCATTGGAAGCTTTGTTTTAATAGAAGCTTTAAGGCTAAAATTTTTTCCTGTTTAATTTAATGTAATTAACAAATACACCATTTTCAAATTAGAGGAGGGAAGGTGGAGCTGGCAGGGTGTCAGTGTTTTTTCTGTTGTCAGTAGACCCTAACTAGTTACCACCTTAACCTTTCAATTTTTTTTTTTTCTGTGTGTGTGTGTGTGTATGCATATCCTTTGCAGCCCTTTTGCAGTTTAACTGGGTATACACATGAAATGTATGTAGATCCACAAAGGGAACTATATAAAATACTTGGCATGAAAAGAGGTGAAGGTAATAAAGTATCAGGTAAGAATAATTTTCTAATTTAGACTTTCAAAAACAAAACAAAAAAACTCTGATAAAATAGCATGATCACAATGTACAGAGAAAGTGAGTTGCCCAGACTGGCTCTTGTAGGCTGTATTTTGTAATATAATACYGGTAATCAGGAATCTCTGAATGATTCGAAGCAGCTGTTCAACATTGTTGTTCTTACATACTTTTGTATTTGTACATAACAAGTGTTTTGTGGTTTTGTTTAGTTCAGAGCCCTCACGTGAAATCCAAYACATTTCTGGGAAGCATAAGGAGTATATGGAGAGCAATGACTGGCCCAGCTTTTGAYTTTCAAGGAGACCCTGCTCAGCAGGGAGGAGCTTTGATTATAGGCCCAGGTGAGCTGCTTTGTTTTGTGTGAAAGTTACAAGTGTCCCTCAACTGTTTGCTGCAGTCTCCTCAGCTGTCCCTGTGGGTCCCAAGGAGTCAGTCTTGTGTGGAACTGTGTGATTTCTGWCACATGAAGGAATCTGCAAAGTGTTGTTGTGTAGCCCCATCTCCCAGAGGTGGTACAAAGTTGATCATAGTCCTCCAGAAACTAATTGGAGTGCTGATGGAAAAACTGACTCAAAGTTTGGAGGGTTTTCTTGACATCATAGTATTTACCTATATTCTGCTTTCACATTTGATTTGAAGCATTTAATGTGGTTTTAGTAGAGAAATAGAGCAGGAGGGGGGAGTTGCAACATGACAGTCACCACATTATTAGGWATCATCACGCAACAGCAGATTTAAATTAGTTAGCTTTGGTGTTCCTTGCTTCTTTAAMATAATTGAAAAACCTTTTGTCATTGTTTTAAACACAGCCAGTCTATTGTGCAGTCTGCAGAGCTAGTATTCATTTGTACATGCACTGGTAGGTAGTCAGAATGCTGCTTCGATTTACTTACATCTTTGAATAAATAAATGTTATTCARTAATTTACATGTTATTCTCATTCCAGGCAATGAAGTTCATTTTTTGCACCTTGATAAAAACAGGCTGGATCATGTTCCCATTAACACAGTTTTGCAGCTGGCAGGAGTTAAAACAGTAAATTTCTCAAACAAACCCCAGATTATTGACATATGACACCAATGTAATATATACTTTTTAAATTTGTGCTCYACAAGAACAATTCTCCAGTGAATTCCAACAAGTATCAGTTCTGTTGTGCCTTTGTGGGACATCTGAAACCTTACGTGGAAAACCAAAACACAGAAAAAGCTACCTGACAATAGAAAGGGACACAGAAGTTCTRTTTCTATTGAGTACAAGATAATAAAAAATAAAATAAAACAGAGACTTTTTGCAAAAAATCCTAGACCTTATTGTCTATTGAAACAGTCTTGCTATTGTAATATTTTAAAAATCATTTTTCAAGGTACACTWAATTAAAAAATTGGATTTTGCTCAGGGAGAACTTGAGATTCTTGCCTTCAGCACATCAACACTGGCTTTTAACCAAACACTTCTCAGCACTGTTTTAAAGCTTCCAGCATTGTATGACAATTTTGTATTGAAATACACCTTGAAATTTCACAGTTTTGAACACCTTTGGACTTAAGCTTATGCCTACATTTGCATCTGGCACTGGTAGTAATTATAAAATACATTTTACAATTTCAAATAAATCTTTTAAATACATCATCCATTATCTGGAATTCTTTTGTATGATATAAAAACATGGGTTTGCAAGACCAGAGATAGGTGTGTCTCAAATTTGTATGTGGTCAGATTATTGCTTTTGGAGTAAGCCAAATTATTTGTTTTCCTATGCAGATTTGCAGCAAAATGTTCTCCTTTTGTATGTATGTACTTTCTCTCAGAGCAAGGGGTCTCTGAATAAATTGTCTGYAGTTATTTCTGTCTTAGGCAACTGAGCAAAGCATAACAGCATTCTGGTTTGCAGTTCTGGCATATTTCTTACTATCCATTTATCAACAAATGTTTATGTTGAGCATCTATTGCTTCCATCAAAGTAGACGAGCCTTCTTTTATCCAGGAGACACTTCTCTTTAGCAATATGAAAAAAAAATGTTCAAGATTTATGGAGGAGTGTATCCTTCTCTGCAGTCTCTGATCTTCCCTGTAAAATGCTAC